GCTTCATCATGGGGCCCTCTGCTACAAGTCATTTTAAAATTAAAACCGTTAAAAAAAACGTAAAATATTTGATGAATGCATTGCATATGTAAGAATGTGTCACTTGTTGAGCCAAGTAAATGTGTTAAATAAAACACAAAGAAAAGCCAACATTTTTTAAAAAGTTTGTATGACGAACAAAAAAAAAACAGTTTGCCAGTCAAGTAAAAATGTTTCAGCACCACAGACAGCGATATCAAGTAAGAACATGTTTTTGATGCGGTGGTGACCCTTACCAACGGCGATAATTAAAGCACCTATGCTGTCACAAAGAACCGGCAAAAGCAATGATTATGAATATGTCAAATATAGCAAGGAGAAATTTTAATTGTTTGTTAATAAAGATGAAGTTGACGATGCTGACTCGCTATCTTTGCAGTAGCCTAGGATGAGCCAGAGAGAAATGCACATTTGACTGCGTTGGTTGTTCAAGCAGAGAGCAATCTTTTTGGTTTAGTTTCGTTTTGAATTGTTCTGATTACAAGTTGACATTTTAGTAGATATAGCCGTTTCAGGTCTGTGGAGTAGGATATGCTACTTAGTCTATATGCTGAGTTTATTTAGGCTATGAGACGCGCTCCGCACCGGCGCCTGCGTGTCGTGATTATCTTGTTTTTTTTTACTTCTTATGTATTAAAGGGTTAGTTCACCCAAAAATGAAAATTAAGTCATTAATTACTCACCCCCATGCTGTCCCAACCCCGTAAGACCTTCGTTCATCTTCGGAACACAAATAAAGATATTTTTGATTGAATCTGAGAGCTGGATCAGTCCTATATAGAATGCCTAAGGGACTGGCTCTTGACGGCCCATAAAGTCATTAAAGAAAAGGTTTAAATATTCCATGTGCCTACAGCAGCTCAATTATAAGTTTATCAAGCGACGAGACTACTTTTTGTGCGAAAAAAACATAAATAACGGCTTAATTCGACTATTCTATTACTTCCTTATGGGCGCATGCGCGAGAACTGAGACGAGGACGTTCTCCTTCGACTTGTTACCGGCTGCTCACGGCTTAGGAGTATTATCGCCACCTACCGTATAAGATGATGTGCTGATATAGCTGGAAGCGCAAAACTTTCTGTTTACAAGCAGAGGAAGATACGCGCTGTACATACGTTTTCAGTTAGCGTATTTTCCGCACTACAATGTGCACTTAAAAGCCTTTAATCTTCTCAAAAAATGACAGTGTTCCTTATAACCAGGAGCGCCTTATATATGGATCATCATCTTATACGGTAGGGGGCGGTAATACTCCTAAGCGGAGCAGCCGGTAACAAAAAGTAGTCGAAGGAGAAGAACGTCCTCGTCTCAGTTCTCGCGCATGCGTCGCTTGATAAACTCGTCGCTTGATAAACTTATAATTGAGCCGCTGTAGGCACATGGAATATTTAAACCTTTTCTTTAATGACTTTATGGGCCGTCAAGAGCCAGTCCCTTAGGCATTCTATGTAGGACTGATCCAGCTCTCAGATTCAATCAAAAATATCTTTATTTGTGTTCCGAAGATGAACAAAGGTCTTACGGGGTTGGTACAGCATGGGGGTGAGTAATTAATGACTTAATATTCATTTTTGGGTGAACTAACCCTTTAAATCCAGGCAATTGGTTGATGAAACATTGATTAAAATCAAGATAAAATTAAAAGGAAAACGAAATTTACTTTAAATGAAGGCTTTGCTTTTCTGTTTGAGGTCTGTGGAAGTTTTAAATCCGTCTTTTAGTGCCGCTTCAGAGTGAATCTGAATAACGGAGAACTGTCACGTCTGTAACATTGTTTTTTCCTCATAAATGCGAACACGAAAAATAAAATAAAATGAATATTTTATGTTCTGTGGAGAGCCAACCCTTCCTCATTCGATTTGTGCAGTGTAATTCACAGAATTACAAAAAATATATATTTTGCCTCCTAAGTTAAAGATTTTTTTGTCAAGCATGAATGCATCTATTTCCTTAATTTTAAACATAAAAATGCATGTGTAGACTGATATTTTTCTAATGTCTGGACTCCTTTAAGGGAGTAGCATGGATAAACAGATGTTTCAATATATTGGTATTAATGATTTTTACTGAGAATTTTTATTTCAAGTTTTGACTGCAAATGCTACGTCCATAACGCTGGAATTCCCCAATTTTAAATAATTTATCCTCAACTAGTTTTGTGGTGTGTCTACATATTTTATAATGCCTCAAGTAATACTAATAGTAGGCCTAATTTAAAGATGTCGTAGCATTGGATCTGGACGGTAAGGAGAATAACGCTGCGTTGGAAGGGGTGTCTCTCAATTCTGCAGGTTTGTGGATCTGAGTCGGCCCTACCATTTTATTTTGCATATGGGCCCGGGACTGACTTGCTACGCCACTGCTTGGGCCCCTTTCCTGCAAGATCGGTGGTGTTTGAGGGGCCCCTAATTGGCACGGGGCCCTGGGCACATTTCGGACACATTTCAGAAAGATTTTTGCAGAGACAGAGTGAGCTGAAAGCGCACCCTGTACATTTGATTTATTTTACAAAAACACAAGGTTTTGATGTTAACAAGAGTGTACACAAAAAAGAAGACCCTCTAGTTTATTATCATGTATTGATTTTATTTATTTGACCATTAATGACGGAGTATCTTAAGTCTAGGTCCAGGTCCACTTCTTTTTTAAAAGCTGCAAAATGTCAGGAGTTACCCAAGGTATTGTATTTTGCCTGATATGTATTTTACAAGTAGTAGTACATTTATTTGACAGAACATGATCAGGATCTTGCAAAGACATCTCTTTACTCCAATCAGTATCAGCACATTCAGCATTAAACTGAGACAATTTTGAATTTGGTACTTTTTTAATGTAACTATTTTTACGATATTTTGGCTGTTTAAGACATTTTCTAATGACATAGTGAATGATCTGAAACTGCTGTATTTATCACTCAACATACTATACTTAGAAGGTTGATTAGTGAAAATGAGGTCCAAACAATGGCGCCACCAGGGGGTGGCCAGGGGTGGCCATGGCCACCCCTGGCCGACTCCTGGCCACCCCATTGGCCACCCCAATGGCCAGTATTAATTTTTGTAGCATCAGTTATGCATTTTATAAATAAGTCAAAAATATTCTTAAGTAAAAGAAGACGGGGAATTATGTGTCGTGACGTGCTTTTTAAGTGCCAAATGGTATACAGCAGCTTTTAGGTGTGTTTTTGCCACGTTTTGGCAGGGATGCAAACAGCGCGCTTTTCGGCGCCTCCCGCTTTTTTCACGTCAGTTTGGGTGACAAAGTCATCTGAAGTCATTCCATAGCTTAATGTGAGGGACAGAAGTATATTTACATCATTAAAGTATAAACTCGTTTTCCCTCCTCTGCGACTGTCATCATTCTCCATTCATATTCAAACAGCACGCGCGCCTCTTGGATGCACGGTAAAACTCTCTCCAATATAATATATATTGACATTATAAATGCATGATCTGTAGATAAAAGTCTGTATATTCGCATAAAATTACTTTATTTTCTTGGAGTTTGTTGCTGTTTTTAAGCGACTCACTACCGTGTTCTGTTAGATCACACATACATATCACAAGGATTATGAATCGGCATCAAACGCACAATAACTGTGAAACAAAGGAACAAATCGCACTTGGATTTGTGCGCTCAACATTTTTTCGATTTGTGACATGAGCTTTTAAATGCACACTTATGAAGCGCAGTGCTGCTGCACACTGTGACTCCATGTTGCTTTGAGCACATCATTCTGCACCCGCGATGTTTTCATGTAATCATGCAAGAACGGGCTCAATCATGGGTTTGCGCACTGAAATATTATTAAAAGCCAATATATTTTGTTATACCTAGCCTGCTCAATACATTTTAAATAAGCATAATTTAATTGTATATAATTTATTTGTAGTTTAGGCTATGCACTTCTGAATTCTTGACATTAATATATAAATATAAAATTGTGACATGATTGCCTGATTGAATTTTAAAAGAGAACTAATAGTAATTTGTTTTTATTAACATATTTAGATTTTATAAAATTACTGTGCAGATTTTTTCAAGAATTACTTTTTGCTGCTGATGTATACACTCATTAAGTGTATTAAAAATTCATAATACATTTATGTAATATTTAAAGGTGTTAACTGTAATCTTACACTGCAAACTAATAACTTAAAAATGATTAAATTCATCACAATTATGTAAGTATCTGGAAATTTGCTGTGGGGCAAGGACCCTTATATATCATATAATATATATCATTATATACAATGTAATATATATTAGTTGGGCCCTACTAATATCATTAGTAACATTAAATATTACACAATAAACCAAAGTATATCAGTAGGAGTTTCCTTAAGTCTTTCTGATAGTTTTCTACAGGCTGGTTTATTACAACAGTAGAAAACAATTCTGAAATTATGGTTTATACTGTAGTTTTGGTGTGCCACCCCAAGATTTTAACTGGCCCCATCTGGCCACCCCTACGAAAAATTTCTGGAGGCGCCACTGGGTCCAAAATAGAATTTCGTGCTTTACCAAATCTGGTGGGATCTTTGATTAATTGATGAAGACCATGCAGCATGGTCCATGCTTTATGGCAGTTGCTTTCAAAAGTTTAGATGAATTACCGATCCAATTCAAATTAATAATATATAAAATAAGATGTGGAATCGATAGACAAAAGCTTTAAAAATGACTACATGTGTGCTTTTCAAGTTTCTGCATACCTACATAAACTAACTACACAAATTTCACTTCCACAGAATGATATAACAACATATTTTCTTCCATGAATGGATAGGTTTGGTTTGGTTTTGTTAACTTGAAACTAATCCCTTAACCCTTTGTTACAGAGTTTGTTCAACTACCATCATGGTGTGGGTCCCTTGCAACCCTGGTCACTGAGTTTAAGCTTTTTTTTTTTTTTTTTTTGGCACACCAATCTACAAAGACTGTCCAGCCTGACTCACCGTGGTAGAACTGAATTCTGGTGGATGGGTGTTGGCATCTTTGATGTCCAGAAAAACAGTTCCAGTTGAAGACATTGCAGGTGTCCCTTTATCCTTCACTTCAACTAGCACTTCATATGTTTTTGCCATCTAAAATTCAAGAGACAGAGATCAAAAATACTGAAAAATGCTCAAAACATGCCTTTTCGTTAGTTACTCACATCATAGTCAAAGCATCCCGTGAAGACGAGCTGTTTGACTTTAGGGGTCCCAGGTATGTCCTTCAGGGAAATTTTTGGTAATGCAGGTTCTTGTGACACCAGCCTCATGGTGAACTGGGAATTAGGAGTATCCGGCTTATCTTTGTCATGAGCTTGAATTGTTCCATGCAGAATGCCTGTTCAAAGTCAAACAAGGATGATTAAAAAAGAGAGCATACTGTATCTACTGTATGCTTAGCATTTAATGCTAACAGTTTAGTTTCAATAACTACTCCTTTATGAACTGGGGAGGAAGTTTTGACTTTTAAAGGAGCATTTCACCCATTTCAACATTAATCTTTATTGATCATATATGTAGTCGAAATGTAAAGATTTTTTGAATTTGGTGCCCTCTTGACCGAGAAAAGACAGAAAATAACCGAGGGGTGCATTTGTATGTAAGACAACAAGTCCCACAATGCACCACATTGCACAGCTCTGCAAGCCACACCCACTAATCCAGAACTGCGCACACATCAGAGAAATAACTCTTCCATCTACAAGGCTAACATTAGCTGTTACCAGAGTTTGAAATTCATTTCACACAAAATTTCTATTCAGTTGGCTGTGGTGAGCAGGATGATCGAGGGTGAGGGACGTAAAGAAACGTAATGAAAGACACCTGTGTGAGACACACCGGTCTCACGTCTCTCACGGTCGAGCGAAAGCATAAAATGAGGAGCGACGATGGCAGATCGAGAGAGAAACAGGCCTTATTTTATGATGTGTTTTGTTTCTGTTGTGTGTAACGTTACAGCAGTCGTCAATGAGGGGCATCTAGCTTATACTTTCGTTTTGTATTTCTTCATTTTACTATTAAACTGCTTAAATGTTCGCCGGTTCCTACCTCCTTCTTCCCACAACAAACCCTGTTAACGTTACATTGGCAAACTCATTAGTGAATTACTCCTCGTTTTTATTTATTTCTATATATGGTGAATTACTCCATGATATCTGGATATTCAGTCAGGCGAAACTAGGATGGTTCACATCACAACACAAACGTCTGTCTGCTCGTCTCATTCAGAGATTTCGTTCAGGAGAAATTGCCATTGTTGAAATTCTCTGCAGCAGACGGACTCCATATGTTTTTGTAGTTCACAGCGAGAGCACATGCACCACCAGTCCGACCCAGCTCGAGCCAGTCCGGGCTCCTCGACCGAGAGCACGGGCACCAGCCGTCCGCCTCAGCTCGAGCCAGTCCGGGCTCCTCGACCGCGACAGGCAGCCGCCTCCGGTTCCTCCATCAGCCTCAGCTGCTCTTCACTATACTGCGGCTCGTAAAGACAGCCACGAACATCGGATTCGAGCAGCAGAATTTCAATATCCTCTTCTTCCATATAATGTTTAGTTCCTTCAATCATTATCATACTTCCTATCTCCACAGCGCTTGTTAGCTTAGCTTCCAAACAAGATGGCTAATATTGATTCAGTATCTGCAAGTGAAGTCCCACCCACTGATCTGAAATAGGCCTGTAGGGTGAGTGGGTCCCACATCCTTGAATAAAAATGATCTAATGTTTGTAGTCTCTACACTTTTTAATAAAATGTGACTTCCAGCTTATTATGATGCAAAATTACGATTTATACATCATAATGAGCAGGAAGTAAAACATTTAAATTCTTATTTCTCCCATCTCAGGTGGAAAATAAGGGAATAAACCATGACGATTTAAAAATATGATTGGGTTTCTAAAGATACAAAGCTTAATGCAAATGGGTGAAGTGTCCTTTCAAGTTATTGTCTTGTAAATATCAGTGAATTATTTTATCTGAAATGAAAAAATCAAGAACAATAAGACTATAAAGGTCTATAAAGAAAAGTCTGAGAGAAAATTCTCATTGGCCAGCAAAATAGTTAATTCCTCCCCCACAATCTCGCTGTAGGTTTAATCAGTGTTGTTGTATTGAGCTGGTCTGGATGCTCAAACAAATAGAGCAATGTTCTGTCTATGTTTACACTTTTCAGGAGAAGTCACCTTACAAATGGCTTACTTATAATAGTTTCTTTACAGAAAGCATTTTAACAGAAAAAAACGTATGCATATATGCAGTAATACATGTTCTCTGAACCTTCAACAGTGTTCTCCTGAACTGATATACGGATAGTTTCCAGCGGGAACTCGGGTTTGTTGTCATTCTTGTCCTTTATTTCCACGTTGAATGACAGTGTTTTGTCCAACTCTTTTCCAGTCTGCCTGTCCAACACGTCAAAGTCCACCTACAAAGGAATCAAAATGTCACTCTGAACTACATCAACATAAACTAAATCAGTCCATTCTTTGAATTCCGCTGTATTATTCTGATAGAATTAGTGTCATATCAAATCCCGCCTTGAAATCTTACATGGAAGATGGGATTGATTTCCCTGTCGATGGGCTGGTGTACGAATACAACCCCAGTGTTTTCGTTAATGGAAAACAAACCAAATGGCTCTCTTGTCACCCCGTCTCCTTGGAGGCGGAACTTGACGGTGTTGTCCTCCTTTTTGTCATTGAACAGCTATATCAATTAAAAAGTAAATAAATAATAATTAGATTAATGTACCATTTATGATTACGTATTTGTTCACTTTTTAGCCAAAACATGCATTATTCAAAATAAATTCATTTTTAATTCACCCAGACTAAATTAAAAACAGATATTCTGACACGGCACATTTCAGAATAACTGCTGTATCACTGTTTGTCAGAGAAACAAGTTTGAATGCTAAGCATGCTTCCTAAATATCTGCAAACATATATATTTTATGCTTTAGTACAGTCGAATACTTGGAGTTGTATGGCTTTTAGTTTATGTCTGTAAGGTTTAGGGTCAAGTAGATTCAAGGTTCAAGGTTCAATTTATTTATAAAGCACATTATAATACAACAGGAGTTGACCAAAGTGCTGTACATACGATAAAATAAAATAAACTGTACATAACATGCTGTACAGAAGATAAAAAATAAAAGAAAATAAAAAATCAGTGAATCACAGTTAAATTCTACGCCTTTCTATGGACATCACAACCTCTCAATAAAAACCAATTTCACCAATACGTACTCATCGACCTGTTACATCAACACGTACTCATGGACAGTCGAACGCTAATGCAAAAAAGTACGTTTTTAAGTGACCTTTAAAATCATTGATGGAGGAACATTCCCTGATATATTGGGGTAAACAATTCCACATCCTGGGGGCAGCTGCTGTAAAAGCACGGTCTCCTCTCAGTTTCCTGAATGTACGCGGTACCACCAGGAGATTCGTTGATTCTGACCTCAAGGTTCTTTTTGGTTTATGTACCTGGATAAGATCCGCTATATAAGTAGGGGCAAGACCGTGTAATGCTTTGAAACAAAATAAAAGTATTTTAAAATTTATCCTGTATGGCACTGGCAACCAATGTAGTTTTTGTAATATTGGAGTGATATGCTCGAATTTTCGAGTGCCTGTCAGGAGTCTAGCGGCTGCATTTTAATACTAGTTGTAATCAATGTAAACTTTTTTGTTGAACACCGTAGTACAATGTATGGAAGCTTGTTTCCGCCACTGAATGAAAAATATAAAAGGTAATTGCGACTTTTTATCTCACAATTCTGACTTTTTTTCTCACAATTGTGAGTTTACTTCTCGCAATTCTGACATTATTTCTCAAAATTGCGAGATGGAAAGTCAGAATTGTGAGATATAAAGTCAGAATTGCGTGATATAAAGTCGCAATTGCGAGATATAAAGTCAGAATTGCGAGATATGAAGTCAGAATTGCGAGTTATAAAGTCAGAATTGCTAGATATAAAGTCGCAATTGCGTGTTATAAAGTCAGAAATGCATGATATAAAGTCAGAATTGTGAGATTTAAACTATTCTGAGGGGAAAAAATTTGGTCTTTTTTTCCCCTTAGAATTGGCCTAATAAGTCGCAATTGCGAGTTTATATCTCACAATTCTGAGAAAAGATGTCAGAATTTCGACATATAAACTCGCAATTATGTGTTATAAAGTCAGAATTGCGAGATGTAAACTCGCAATTGTGAGAAAAAAAGTCACACTTCTGTCTTTTTTTCTCAGAATTGCGACTTTATATCACACAATTCTGACTTTATATCTCGCAATTCTGACTTTATATCTCGCAATTCTGACTTTATAACACACAATCCTGACTTTATAACTCGCAATTGCGACTTTATATCACGCAATTTTGAGAAATAAAGTCAGAATTGTGAGATATAAACTCGCAATTGTGAGAAAAAAAGTCAGAATTGTGAGAAAAAAAGTCAGAATTGTGAGATAAAAAGTCACAATTATTTATTATATTTTTTTATTCAGTGGCGGAAACAAGCTTCCATAACAATGCATTTCCATAGTCCAGTCTCGAGAAAATTAACGCATGAACCATTTTTTCCAGCTCTTTCTGTGCTACAAATGGCTTAATTTTAGCAACTAATCTTAGCTGGAAGAAACTCGTTTTAACTGCTAGATTGATCTGTTTATCGAATCTTAAAGCACTATCACAAGTTATACCTAGATTTTTTACTTGATGTTTCAGATAAGGGGATAGTGTACCTAATTCTATGTTAGCTAAGTCTGCAGACTCAGAAGGACCAAATAACATCACTTCCATTTTAGATTCATTTAGAAACAGAAAATTCACAGACATCCACTTTTAGTATAGTATTAGCATTAGGATCAGTAGAAACTTCCAGCCGAGTGTGTTTGTGCTAAACTGTGCAGGAAATTGGCCCTCCCATGGAGTACGATTAGACACCCCTGCCCTGCTCAAATATTACTCCTTCTAATAGCATCAGCAAGTAGCATATTCATGTGCTGTAACTAAAGCCTGTGGGCTGTCTATTGTAGGCTTGAAAATGAACAAAGACATTTCTAAAAAAAGTCTATGTAATTTTTTTTTTAAATTTGCATCACTATAAGTTGTGGCTATTGTGGTTTTCAAAACATTTGGTAGCCTAACTACACATACTTTTATTAAGTTTAGTGACAGCATGGTGCAATAATTGCTATAGGCTACAGCTTTTATTATTGCTCGATACAAATTTTACAATTTCAAGTTAATTCTTGTGGTTTTATTCCGATCTTGATTCAATTTGGACGCACATTATAAGCACCAAGACACCTGCCCTGTTCTCCTCTGGTTCTCCTCACACCACAACTCAATTTGTCTCTGAAGCGCTCTGTCTAACATTAATCCTGGCATATCCCTGCTCTCTAGGCAGCATAGCAGAGTTATAATTGTATGGCTGTGGTCCGTCATACGAGTAACTATGAACAATTTCCTCAGCGTCCGAAAGGTCATTGTGATCCATTGTTTTCCTGTTGTTTGAATTGACCGCTCTCCCGCCTGTTACGTCACACCCACCAAATTATGAAAATACAAAAAACTTCCAAACCTATCTAAGGGTTTAATGGAAGTTCAACAAATAAAGAACAGATATAATACAATTGAGCAAATGATAAAGCTAGAGTTGCTTAAAGGGGGGGTTGACTGCTTTTTTTCTTTGCATGATTTTGTTTATGGGGTGCAATATAACATGTATTCGTGGTTTTTCTTTTTTAAAAAGTCTTATATTTCATAAACTTCACCTTTATTGTAAGCCGCGTTCTCCTCTGTCTGGCTAAAACTATGGCTAAACTCTGGCTAAACTGTCTGCTCACGTTGTCCTGAAGGTTAACGCCTATTATCTTTACGGGCGAAACGTGCCTGCGCTCCGATGTACAGGTCCTGTAGTGGGACTGTGGGAGAGCATGGACGGACGGAGCCGAACGGTGAATAAGTGGGTCAAGTTCAAATGACAAACACCTGTCTGTGATTTCAGTGATTGGCGTGAGGAGAGCGCATAGGCTATAAGCGGGCCGTGCGGACAACAGTTTGACAGAGAGAGAGACTGGCAGCTCGTATCCTATTCTGTTACCGAACGTGTGACATTTGAAAGCTGTATTCAGCGGGAAGAGTTTTCACTGCAACCGTGTTCGGCAAAGCTGTGTTCAGTGGGAAGAGTATTATCACCTGTTATTTATTTTTGCTTTTGACATTCTGAGTTAACTTTATTTGAACACGACCTCGCGCTGTGAAAAGAGTGGTGTAAATGAAAGTGCACGAGTCCTAGTATTCGCTGACCCTGTCTCCTTTCATCACCCACACATAGCGAACCTGTTCTTACATCACAAAGCAATGATAACGTGTATATATACATGAAAAATACATTTATAATGAGTACTAAATGAGCATTAAATGAGTACATATACAAATTCAGGTCCAAAATGTTTGTACGCGTTTGTCGTAGACACAAAATAGCATAACTAAGTGGATATAAAGCCAGCGCTGGCATTTGACAAAACTAAAACTTTACATCTGAAATTGTACATGCAAATACATACAGTACATTTAAACTGATTAAGTCTTAGCCTACTTACAGGTTGTGGCCCAACAACTACTGCCTCTGGTTTTAAAGTTGAAACTGCTTCATGTTTTAGAAAAAATGTCTTGTTGAATCCGGCATTGAATTCGTGGAGATTCTGGAAGCTGTATTCCGTAAATGCGCAGCACAGAGAGCTAGATTACGATCGTCATTTTCAGGAACATAATCAAACATAAATTGTATCCATTGTTGACGAAGTACAGCGTCCGTGGGAAGCCCGAAACACAGAAGACCTGACAGCTGGGTGAACAGACATACACAACACACTCGACGAGCCCGCAGAAATATGATCATGCCCTTTTCTGCATATTCCGGAGGGAGGGGTTGATGTAAATGTGTGGGTTAGTGACGTCTAAAACCCAGCTGTAGTCCCAATCGAGTCGTTTTTGTAGGCAATATACTTCCTGATTTTTAAAAGACGATATCTCTGCTTACATTGAACTTTCAGCGCTGCAACTTTGCAGATACTGTTCATGCACCAACAGAAACATTACACACTATTTAAAATGAAAAAAGTTCATTAAAAATGAAAAAAGCCCCCCCCCCTCCTTTAATATTCAATCCCTTACTTCAAAAGCACTAGCTGTTAATGACATGATTACAGATAATAACCTAGGCTACGTTCACACTGCAGGGTTAATGCTCAATTCCCGATTTTTTGAAAAAAATCGATTTTTTTGCAAGGCCATTCACAAATGCGACCTTTTGTGATCTCCTGTGTGAACTTTTGTGATGACCCAGAAGTGACCCGCATGCGCAGAAGAGTAATCAATGGTCAGCGACGTCACTTGTTGTTTGGGTTGTTTGCGGAATAGTTATTTTTTTCCATATGTTGCGAGCTTTTGTTTTATTATTATTATTGCCACAGCCCATATTGTGACGCTGTGCGGAGAAACAGAGCTGAGGCTGGGTCCAAACGCAGTGTAGCTTTATTAACCAACTTGAAACAAAACACAAGACTATAAGCAGGACTCGAGAAACTTGAAAGCACCAACGTAACACACATAAATTCAACAACCAACAAAGACAGGGCAGAAACACAGGGCTTAAATAATAAGGACAAACGAGCTAGACAAGATAACAAG